TTTTTTTTTGATAGTGATTTTAATCACTGTCAGATATCATTATACTTGATCCAACTATACCACGTCACCACTGTGCCGCGACCCCCCTGTGCTGGGTTTTTTTAAGTCTATTCTTTAAAAATAATAATTTTTTAAATAGTATCCTACATATTTTATTACTTAAAATGTTAGAAAATAATCCAACTAAGAAAATGAGTGGTCAATAATAACTTTCGAACAAGTATTTCAGAAGTTCTGAATATTTTTATGTCTGAGCAAGAAGAGTAGTTTGGCAAAGTGATACATAATGATAAAAAAAACATAACTCTCTTCTCGCCTGAAGTCTATTTTAAAGTGTTAATAAGTTCCAATATACAGTTTTAAAATTTGTTACCGACTAGTCATTTTATTAGTTGGATAGCTTCTAACATTTTAACTAGTAAAATATGTACATTTTATTAAAAAATTATATTTATTTGGTACCCTTATAAGGAATAATATCAGCTGTATAATAATAAAAAAAATTCCCAAACTTATTATTAGTTTGGAAGAAAGCATAATCTAAACAATAAATCATTATCTCTGTATAATTACTGATACTCCTAACCTTCGCAAAGTTTCTTCTTGTTTTTTATGTTCAATTTCAAATTCTTTAGGCTCTATAAGTGGATCTGTTTCTTTATTTGCAGTGTATTGAGGTTGAATCCAACCAAAATCATCAATATTACTATTTTTTATATCCTAAAATATATTAAAATTAAAGAAATAAAAATGTTTTCATTTGGTCCTTACAAGATTAGAAAAAATTACATCTCATTGACATTTTAGACTAGATATTTGTACTTTTAAATATTGGTAAATAGAGTTCAACTATACAAAACTATAAAAAGTTACTAACTAAAAAAAAGTTTTTTTCAAAATTTATTGAAAACTTATAATTAGAAGAAATACTATTTCAGTTTCAATCAGCTAATTAAAATTTTAATATTGAATTTAGTTTAATTTTACTATTCTTAAAACGCTTACTAATAATAAATAGTATACAATAGATGCAGTAAGTTTAGTATTGACAAATATCAACGCACAAACAGTTTCTTCTCCTGGAATTCTTACACAACCTTGTTTTCTGTGAGTTCCATAACGTCTTGCTAATTTCCAATTGCGTCTAGTTTGTTTTGTTTTGTTATCGCTGACATTAATAATTTGGTTATCTTTAAATTCATTTTTTTTTTTTTTCATATCTTCCATTTTAAAGGTTTTAGGTTTAAACTGTTTCAATGTGTCAATCATTCTTATAACTTTAGGAGAACTAAATTTTAAAATTTTATCTATACAACTATATCCATGTAAAATATCATCAAATGTAGCTCTAACTTGAATCAAAATAGTTGAAACGATACAAAGTAGTATATAATGTCTTTCATATGGCGTTTTTACTTTTAATTTTTCTACTTTGTATAATAGAGTTAAAGCAGCTTTGTCTGCACAATAAGGTCCCATAGTTATTAAAACTTCTAAAAAATCATCAATTATTTGTAAAGGATCATTTGTAGGATTAGGAATTAATTTTAACTCTTTGTTAAATTCTTCGTCATCCCCATATATTGAAGAAGGTTCATACCTATGATCTTTTAAAAAATCTGCTAAACTTTTCACTATTTTTTTAATTTTTAAATCATTATTTTGTTTAAGGTTATTTTTGCATTCTATAAGTATTTCTATTGGCTTACAACAATGACGTAATATAGAAACAATATCATTTGTAGTCTCTATAGATGAATGCAATTTATTTGAAATAAATTTCAGTTGATTATTAACGTGTATAGGATCGTCATCTGTTTCAAATAATGGTTGAACTATTCCCAAAATTTTACATTCCAAGTCAGATTTTATAAAACTGCAAATCTTAAGAAAATATTTTATAATTATAATTAAGTAGATAATTAATCTAGATAATTTACATACTTTAAAATAAGCACTATTTTCAAGCAAAATTTTATGACAATCGTTGAATATAGCAAGGTTTATTTGATAAAATTTTAAAATTTCACAATTTAATAATTGTAAGCAATAATAATCTGTAGTCACAATAACCTATAAAAATGTAGGAATTTAAAAAATACATATAATAAATAATTATAATAAATAGCATTTAGAAGTTATTACATGTAGTAGAATGCTTAAAGTTCAGATGTTGATTTTGAAAATCTGTGATATAAATTCTTTTACGATATTAAAAAAAAATTAATTAGTATCAAATGTTACTTAATAAATATTTCTAACTTTAAAACCAAGAAAGTATTTTTATGATTTTTTTTTTAAACATAAAATAGTAAATAAAATTTATATGATTGTCAAAATAAGATGAATCAGTAAAAATGATTATATTTTAAATGGAGATACTCAAATATTTGACGCTCAAAAAATATTAGTATGTGTCTTATATATATTACATTATGTATTTTTTCTAAACTTATAGGTTTAATTTAAATAATTAAGATAATTAAATTGAATTAAAAATTGGTCCAAAATAACAAAAGAGACTACTTAGTGCAGTAAGACCTACAGTTTTGTTATATTTCTTAGCACAATAATATCTAAGTTCTAACAGTAGCAGTGATTGAACACACCTCATAATTCTCTAAATCCAAATTCTTTGTTGATTTAACAACAACTGGTTTTAAGTCTGTCAAATTTGTAATACAAAATGTATATCTTTCTAGTTCTTCTTCATCTACCACAAGAAGTGTCCATTTTCTATTTCTTGTTGCTCTAATTTTAATCAAAACATGTATTAATACACAGATTAGTTTAATATCTAAAATCATTATTTACCTATCATGAGTTGTGTAAGCAAGTTCTTGAATTAATTTCAGAACCACAAATGCTTTATTTGTAATTCCACCAAGAGGTATGATAATATTCTTCTTTTTAGCTGAACTTACAAGTGCAACGAGATACTCTTGAGGAGTAAATGTTTTTGTATGAATATTATCACCAAATATCAATGCCATTGAAGATATCAAACTGGTAATATTCTCTGTGATATTTATTTACATCATCAGTCATTCCACTTCAAAAAATGTTAATAAAATTGAATAATTTCTAAATATTAATTAAAATAAAATTAAACTTTAAAAATTAATTAAAGTATTATACTTTAATTAATTAATTTAACTTCAGTTATTATAACTGAAGTTAAAAAAATTAACAATAATTATTTTAAATATAGTAAGAATTATCTAATAAAACAAAAAGATAATTAAAATCAAGTAAAATAAAAAATATCTAATATTTACATAGAACTGAGATCTCAAGAACTTTAAATAAATATAAATATTAAATTTCTAATACTAAATTCGTGTTATAAATTGAAAAAAAAATTATATATTGAATTTTTGTTTAGTAATTCTTTAGTATTAAGAATTATCACCACACTCAATACAATTATGTTGCTAAAAAAAATGATTTTTTTTTTTAACAATTTAAAATAAATTAATTTATTTTAACTTACTAGAAGATTATTTTAAAAAATTATAAAGAAAAAATAGTCTAGTGTAACTTCAATCATTCACTTAGTCATATAAAGTTTGATGAAAACCAACTTACGACTCATTTGGATAATAATTAAAAACGTAATCAAGTTTAAAAAAATATACATTTTCAATAATAATTTAATTTATTTTAAATGTGTCTTACATGTCTTACCTATGTTTTACTTTTTAATTAAGTTAATTTTATATCATATTACAATATAAAAACTTTAAATTAACAGAAATATTAACATTTTAAATTAGCTACTATTATCAAGATATTTGTTATCTAGAAGTAATCGTTATCATGTTAAATATTTTTGAATCTATTTTTGTTATTTATTTTAAGAGTGAAATCAACTAATTCTAAAAAACATTTGTACATTAAAAACCTTTTGATATTTTTGATAACGGCAATAATTTTAATTATTTGACGATTATTTGTTTTTGAAATTATACGTTTATTTATAAATTACGAAGATACTATATTTTTGTTTGTAGAATGGAGCAATCCTTAAATTAAATTATTATTTTTTTTTTACGTTTTATCGAAGTAAAAAGTAATTAATTTCGTTTTATATTAATCATAAACATATATAATATGAAGTATGTATGCAACTTTTGTTTAATTCCTCATAATTTATAAAAAAAACTAAAAAAATTTTAGATAAATAATGAATTTTATAAATAAAGCTGTATTGAAGTCAGCTTATTTAATGTATTATTTTAAGTACATAAATATATCAAAAATTAATAAGTAAATTATTCATGTCAGAATTTTAAGAAATGGATATTTGTGAAGTATTACCAATTAAATCATTAGAAGAATTACTTGCATGGGAAATAAAATTAGAAAAACTATATGTTGTTGATTTACAAACACGTTCAAATTATTCTATTAGTGGCCATGACTATAAGTGTCATGAAAAACAAATGACATCAAAAAGATATTTTAATCAAGGTTTACCAAAAACATTAATTTGTCATGATATGGAAGGAGGGTATAAAAATGATCGATTTGTGAATGACTGTGAGAGTAGAGATGAGTATGTATTTTACCATTGGTCTATTATAGACATTTTTATTTATTTTAGTCATCATTTTATAACCATACCTCCAGTAGGTTGGACAAATGCAGCTCATAAACATGGTGTTAAATCACTTGGAACATTAATTACTGAGTGGAATGATGGATATGAATTATGGCGTAAAGTGTTTAACAATTTAGACAAAAGAGATATTTTAATAGATAAACTAGTACAAATATGTAAATATTACAATTTTGATGGTTACCTTATTAATATAGAAAATAATTTGTCCTTAGAAAATATAGAAAATATGATAGAGACAGTTAGTTTATTAAGAACTAAACTTAAAGCGACTATAGCACATTCAGAAGTCATATGGTATGATTCAGTTAGCATGGTAAATGGAAAATTAGCATGGCAAAACCAACTTAATATCCACAATAAATTAGCATTTCAAGCTTGTGATGGTATATTTTTAAATTATAATTGGAAAGAAGAAGATCTAATTAAATCTATTGAAAGCGCGGGAAGTAGAATTCTAGATATTTATGTAGGAGTTGATGTATTTGGTAGAAACTGTTTAGGTGGTTTAGACTGTTATAAATCTTTAGAATTAATTCGACAATATGATTTGTCTGTAGCAATATTTGCACCTGGATGGACTTATGAGACTTTAAGTGATAAAAAACTATTGATTGAAAATGAAAATACATTTTGGAGAACTCTATATCCATACATGTATATTCACATTCCTTCCACATTACCATTATGCACCTATTTTTGTAGAGGTTATGGAATTAAAAAAATGGAAAAAGGACAGTTATCGTCTGTTAACTCTTGGTTCAATTTGTCAAAAATGAATTTTCAAACATCTGTTCCTCTATGCTTATCAAATAATAAACCTTCCTGCATTTCTTATGATGAAAATGATGCTATTACTGGTGGTGGATGTTTAAAATTAAATGGTCATCGTGAAAGTAGTACTTATTATAGAATTTTGGTATGCCACTATGAAATTAAATCAAAATTATGTTTTGAAATAGCAGTAAAAGCTATGAAGCCATATGACACACATAAAATTTTTATGATTGCAATAGATCCTTATGGTATGCCTTATAAAATGGAATTTGGTGTTCAAGGAGATGATAATCTATTCTTTAACAATTGTGATGATTATAGTTGTATAGTTCCAAATACTAAACTCTATAAATTAACAGTACAAGATGGATGGCTAGTTCATAATTTATCTTGTCAAATGGAAGGAATAATTGTTGAGATTGCAATTGAAACTGAAGAACCTTTACTTGTTGGGAAATTATTTCTAAATGATGAAACTAGTGATTGTACTATATAATCATTTTTATTTTTATTTATTTATTTATTTATTAATAAATAAATAATTCTTTATTATAAAAAATAATAATAAAATTAGTTGGCTTATAGTAAATTAAAATACAAATAAATAAATTATTCTCCAATAAAATATTTGTTCAAAAAAAGTATATTTTTTATTTTCCTTATTTTAATTAATTTTGTATATTATAATTTAATAAGAAAAATTAGTAAGTGTAACTATAAAATCTTTGCTGGCCTGAAATTATTTATTAGGTTTGCTTCCTATTCAAATTTATTTTTACAGCTTTTAAATGTGTTTAGTATTTTATATATTAACAAATCTTTAGTTTATCAATAAGACTAATGTATTCTATTAGTTGAATTTTATAATGCAATATGTTGAATTACAAGTTTGAATCTTATTTATTATAATTAATTAATTTTGAGCTGAAGTTATTAATTATGATTTTATTTATAATTAATGTAACAAAAATGAACTAATTTTCTAGAATGCAATTTATGATTTTTGAGGAAAACATAAAAAAGTGAAAGTTTTAACATTTATTAGCTTTTTCTACTAACATATATATATATATATACTTTTTTTGAAAAATTTATGCATTCTTATATTATGTCAAAATTAAATTGTTTTATTATTTGCTATTATAAATAGCTATTTTAAAAAAATATTTATTTTCTTGACATATCCTGTTTTTTCTGTGTTTTCCGCTATGCTACAAATTTTTGATCTTTGAATTCTACTAGAAAATGCACAGGTGATAGTCTTACGCCATCGACGTATGTATGCCATTCAGTGTCACGTAATCGAATTATTCACAAATACATTTTGATAAGGATTATTACATAGGCCTTAGTCCATTAGAATTGTTCCAAGATATAAATTTAACTGATGTAATGGTATTAGAATATTACATGTATGTTTGGGTGTTGTGGAAAGATTATTGATGTTTTAGAAAAAAGATAAATAGCCTGTTCATTTTAATAATGAAGTATCTCTAAATATTGTAATTTTAAAACATTTTTCCTAAAGAATTTAACAGACTACCTCGCTCTTAAACAACTTTATTTTTTGAAAGCCTCAGAGTTCCATTTCTTTTTATTGTATTCAGGGCCCATGTTTTAAAGGGAAAATTGAAAAAATCATTAAACAAAATGTTATGTTATTACATTGTTCAATAAAGTTACTTTTGTCTGATAAATGTGTATTACTCATAATTCATTGGCCAATAATTTATTGAGATGATTCGTTTCTGAATATTCAGATTTACATATGTAAACATATGATATGTATATGTGATATCGCATATAATGTATATGGCTTAATTCACTTAACACATTTTTTAAGAATATATGGTTCATTAAATAATTTTAGTGCTTTCAACTTAGAAAATTGTTTGCAAACTATAAAAATACCTATTTTCTTCTTCAAGATATTTATATTAAAGTAGTAGAAAGAAACAGCTTAGAAAATAATATATCTGTACGGAACCCTATTTAAAAAAAAAATAAATAATTTTGACCCTCTATTGTACTTAAACTCTACAGAGACATTATATGAGAATATTGTTTAAAAAAAAATTTTTAAGTACTGTTAATGATAAAAAATATGTTTTTATGTTAAAAAATAATATTTCCTGTATGTAAAAACACATTTACCTGGGTGCTTTACAATAAGTGATAATTTTGTTATTTTTAAATTAATTTAAGAAGTATATGGATCCTGTAATTAACTTATCTGAATCTAAAATATAAGAGATGATTCTAGGAATTTTCGGGCTCTAAATAATGAAAAAAATTAAAGCATATTTAGATTTAACAGAATATTATCGAAATTTTATTCCTAATTATAGTAAAATAGCTAAACTAATAACAAATTTATTAAAGAAAGGTGTCAAATATGTCGGATTTGTGTCAAAATGTTTTTAAAACTTTAAAAACTTGCTTATGCCCAAGCCTTATATTACAGTTTCCTAATTTTGAAAAGCCGTTTATAGTAACATGTGATACAAATAATTACGTAGTTGCTGGTATATTAAGTCAGGGGAGCTAGATAAAGATTTGCCCATAGCATACGCATTTAGAACTTAAAATGGTGCTGAAATCTATTAAACCACAACTAAGACACAGCTTGCTGCAATTATATTTGTGGTAAAGCATTTTAGGTAATATTTTTTTGATACAAAGTTTACATTTGTAAGTGATCACAAACCTTTATCGTAGTTATTAAGTGTTAAAGACCCCAGTAGTAGACTTTTACGGTGGCGAATTAAATTGGAAGAGTATGATTTTGAAATCAAATACAAACTCGGTATCACTTATTGTAATGCTGATGTTTTGAGTAGGGTAAAAATAATTAATTAATGCAGAATAGTAAAAATTATGAGGATTTTTACAACAGATTTAAATCGAAAATAATTATTAATACGAAAGTCAAGGAGATAATAGGTGACATTAAAGAGGCCCCTAAAGACTTTCATATTGCGTTAGAATATAATGTAATGGAAATTAAAGAGGATATTGAAATAACAACTATTTTAATAAAAATTAGTATCGGATATTGGTATATGTTTTTTCTGCAATCATAAACTTAAAGCCCCTTCATATGAGATTATATTTGAATATTTCAGTAAGTTGAAATTATTTTGTGAAAAAAATAAAATAACTAAACTGGCCATGTCAGAAATAGGCATGAGTGAAGGTATTCAAAATTTTAATTAGGAACAAATCAGAACTATGACAAGGTAGGTGTTTAAATCTACGAATGTTACTGTATTAAAATATAACTGTATAAACAGTCGCGTGGGGGTCTAGCATACCCCCACATAAATAAAAACGGATATATTATATTGCATAAAATATACACATAGATATAAATTTAGAAGATGGGTTTTTATAGTAATATTGAATCTATTTTCATAAATAAATACCTTCAAAAAAAATTGAATGACTTAAAATATTCACCAAAATTGAAATGGGTCATATTTACTCCCACGCGACTTGTAACGTTATAATTTTTTTTGGACTTGTATTTTTTTCAAAATATCGTTTTATCGTAAATGCAATGTTATAATCGATATAATATTGTGGAATTGGATTTATGTGGTTCTGCCACCGACTGTGCAATTAAGTTTTAAAAATAAATAATCTATTGAGAATTTCCACTACTCGATGATACAGAACAAATAAGAACAAAACATGTAATAAATACATCGCGTATACTAAACAGTATGCAATGATTGTTGGGAGAAAAATCAATGTTCAACAGATTCAGAATAATTGTATATACTCGTAACATAATAATCAAATGTATTGTAATATTAATAATAAAAAAATTAAATTCAGAAAAATGATTATATAAATATAAATATACATAAAACTAATAAATATAAGCCGTGTTTGAGCTCAAAGAAATACAAGAAAAATTAATTAAAATACATTTTGTAATAGTAAAAGCTTTTGTTTACCGTCTTAAAAATAAGATTTTGCAGTTAAAATAATTTTTTAATGAAATTTTGAAAATTAAGTTTTTTTTTTCGTAATATAATTTTTAGTAATGCACATAATTTTGTAATTTATTTATTTTTTAATTTTTATTATTGAATTTTTATCCATATTTATATATCATATGGTAACAAATAATGTCTTTGAATTAAAAATAATGAACTTTTTTATACATATTTTATACTTTTTTAGAAATGGGGTCTGATAAACCCCCACGCGACTATGAACGTTAAAAATAGGCACGCGCCTGCTAAAGGGCTAATATAACCTAATACTGAATTGCATATTAATGATAAAAATGACAATTAATACATGCCATGGCTCACTATAAAGTGGACACTTGGGAATACTTATGACTATGAAACGTAAAGTAATATGATGGGGAATCAAAAAAGATATGAAAAAATGTATAGCTAAATATAAGTCGTGCCAAAAAAATGAATGTTTTTGGAAATTCCCATGGTCATAACAACTACTAGTAAAAAGCAGTTCGAACATTTTTTTATAGATATTGTAGGTAAATTACCAACTACGTATAGAAATAATTATTATATATTGACGATGAAGGATGATCTTACAAAATGTTTAATAGCATTCCTCATCTCTTATCATACAGCCGATACTATAGCATTGTGTTTGTTGAGAATTTAGTATGTTTACATGGAATTACTATCATAAAGAACATTTCGATGCAAATCTTTAGATAGTGTTTAATTCTAAGAAATTGGTGGATTATTCCAAAAGCTATATTTTAAGAAATCACTATATCATTTGTCTGTTTGTTCGTTAGGATATAATTAAATGTCATGGCTAATGCATGAACGTTTCTGTAAAATATGCCTTATTGTGGACTTCTGTAGTAAACAAAAAATACAATTGTCATAGAAATTCCTATTTAGGAAGTAAAAAAAAAATACAATTTCAATCACTTGTTTACAGTATACAAAAGTATACTTTTGTTTTACAACTTAGAACTGTTTTTTTTAAGATAAACGTAATTGAAACGCAAGATAAGATAGGTTTACTCTAGATAAGACGACCGCTTTAGTGTAACTATAACTAAAAGTTTTAAATACATTAGAAGTAATTATTGTTTAAGCATAATATGATATAGTGATTTTTTAAAATGAGTAGTAATAATAACAGTTCGAGTGCGTCATCGCAATTTCTTCAAGTGCCTAGGGCCGATGGTCAGGAAGCTTCTACTTCTAGACGAAGATTTACAGGAATTATTCCAATACGTAGGCATTCGATTGAAAGTAGACTTGGTACTGTATTTTTTGAACAAAGCAGGCCTACTAGTAAATCTACAATAATATCACCTTTTGAGTTTACACGGGTAGCTATAATTTGTTATGTCATATAACTATTACGTTCTAAATTATAAAAATCATATTTAATTTTGTCGAAAAAAAGAAAAAATGCTCATCATGAGCAGGAGTGTATTTACTGATCTAATGCTTGTGTAGAGATTCATATCAGGAGCAAAAAAAACTTGTAACGCCCATGGCCGTTACATTGCAGAAATTGTACTAAGAGACTCTAGTATCATATTATCTTTCATAAATTTGGATAGTAAATCTGAAGAAAATCTTTTCTGTCAAATTTTTTTATCTTCCTTCTCTACTTCCAAAAAAAAAAAATTCAATTCATTTGAAGGGGGCTACAGTTGTGTCTAAGAGATTTGAAGTCACCCAATCCCCGGGCACACTACGATAATAGTGATGGCCTATGATCTTCTTAAACAGCCCGTATTTTATGGAAGATATAAGGGACTTTCAAGGTATTTACCCTCAAAAAATATTTTTATAATATTCAGATTAAAAATTTGTTTAATTTAAGTTTGATAATTCTCCGTTAATTTCTAAACAAGTTGGCATTTTTTTTATTTAGTAAAGATTGTCCACTCAATTCAATAAAATAAGATCAGTCAGCATAAACACTTTTTCCTGTTTCTATATGCAAACCTAATTTAAGCTTTAGGCTTGGCCTATGGACATTTTTTACATCTCTTAATAGAGCGTCTACTACAAATTTAATAGAATTGAGAGCGTATTTAAAGTTGAGATATCACTTTTTTATATTTATAAGCTAAAAAAATCATTAAAATATTTTTGTTTTTTAGTTAGCATTTATAACAATATTGGAGATATTAGACTAAATTAGATTTTTGACCACGTTATAAATTAGGTATGTTGAATTCATAATTAGTTTACAATAATAATATATATATTTATTTATGATAATACCATCATGAACGTGGTGTGATACTATAGTATTACTAAATTTTTTTTTTTAAAAAGTCACTTATTTTTATAAACATTTTTTACTTAAGATCTTAAGAATTTTTTTAAATAATACGCTACTAACTTTAACTTTAACATGTCACAAAAATTAATAAACTTAAAAAATTTGCATTATTTTAATTGATACATAAAAATTGTCTAGGCGTATTTAAGAAAAAATTTGTTCATTAGGCTAACCTGCAGAAAAAATACAACTTTTGTTTACAAAGTAACGTAGTTTATATTTTACGCTGTAATGATTAACCTAATGGTCCAGGAACCGTGATTTACGTCTTCCTTAATTTAATATTGTTAGTCAAACACTATCAGAGATAAGAGAAACGAGTCATTTAGCATATCTCTTTATTTTATGTCTTGAAATGTGCAAGTAAAGCCAATTAAGTCTTAAAATTATAATAAATACATTAATAAATATAATCATTAGTAAAATTTAAGCTTTGATTTGAAGCTGAGATGGAAGAATTTTATAATGATGTGTTTTTCTTACCACATATTCTCAGCTCTCACTGCTCCGATTTTGATGAAGAATATGTCAAAAGTTCACAAACTGTATCCAGTCAAAGACATTACCCTCAAAAATAGAAACAATTTTCTTCGTTCCCTGTAAATGTGGGAAATCCCCAAAAAAATTACAAATTTAAAAATCGGTTATTTTTTTCAACTTTTTTTTCCATAAAACTGCTATAACTTTTTTAAAAATGGATGAGTTATGGCAGTTTTAAGTAAAAAAAATTGTAAAAAATGTCGAAAATTAGAGATTTTTAAATTTGTAATTTTTTTGGAGGTTTCCCCCATTTACGGGGAACGAGGGAAATTTTTTCAATTTTTGAGGGTAATGTCTTCGACTAGATACGATTTGTGATCTTTGACGTATCGTTGAAAGAAATCCGTTCGGTGAGAGCTGAGAAAAAGTGGTAACAGACACAAAAAAAAACACATCATAGTAAAACCAATACCTTCTCAGCTTCGCATCGAAGCTAAAAATAATTTTTCAGTTTTTGATTATTATTTTTGAAATTAACACACTTAGCGTAACAATGTATAAAATATAAATTATTAATTTAAATATTTTCTTCTAAAATGGTATTTACAAAAATTGTCTAAAATTATTTTTACTTGCTGAAAAATTAATTTACTAAAATTCATTTTTTGAATATAAATCATTCTTAATTTTCGAAATAATCATTTTACAACAAAATATTTTGTAAAAAAAATATGTAAAGTTAAATTTTCTAAAATATTGGTCTTATGTAAAATTATAGTCAGATTTATATTTTTGCTGTTTTAATAACACTAACGATCTAAATAGGATTGTTTAAAACTGTTTATTTAGGGTACTACGATTATAAATAAGATACAATTAATAATAAAGAAAATTAATGATGGGCATTTTCAAATATTTTAAACTATCGATTAACTATTCGGTTTGTGTTTATACCACCAAATATTTTATTTTAAGCATAAACTATCAAATATTTTAAGAACTATTCGAATATAATGTGTAATTCTCGAATATTTTTTCTATTCGAATAGTTTTTGAATGACTATCGAATAGTAAGATAATTACTATTCGATATTTCCCATCACTAGTTCGAACGCGCCTGTCGAAATTTATTTTTTCTTTATTATTTTTGAGTTATAAAAAAATGTTCAACACATTTGATTTTTATCTCATTTTGATTCAATAACTTCAATGCATATAAAGGACCTCATTATTATAATTTATCGCTAGAAGAAATTTCTTATTCATATTAAAATTTTTCACTATGGAGTTTTTTGTGGCTGTCATTTATCAGCTCTCACTTGACCTACTTTTTTTAACGATACGTCAAATGATTATAATTCATATCAAATTGAAGATATTACTCTCAAAAATTGAAAAAAAGACCACTTTATCAATTAAAAAGTTACTTAACCCACTTTCTCTTTATAAACAATTAAAATCCTTCATCTCTAATGTTTTTAAAATGTTTATTGTGGAATTAGGTTTGATATGATAACAGGTTTCAACTACAAAATTAAATAATTTTACTTTGTAATTTGTTAATCGTTTAACTAAATTTGTGTGTTGCTATCAGTCTATAATATTCCAAATATTTGATTTATATGTTGCTAAATAAATCATTTCTAAAAAAAATGATTTTTAGTTTCACCTGAATTTAACTTTGAATAATTATAATAAAATATATAATAATAATAATAATATTATAATATTATAATTATAATACAATTTTATAATATGCTCAATTGAGAAGATTTTTTGAACTTTTTGATTGGTTATTAAGTTAAAGTAATTTATTAAAATTAATTAAGTTTTGAATATTTGAATTATATAATCTTTTTAAACACAAAAAGTTAATAAGAAATGATTACTATGATTTTTATTTAATTGATCTATTACAATAAGAATACGAAAAAAATATTCTGAGCTTTTCTGATAAATTTCTTGTAAATAGTAATTATAAGATTTTCTGACTGCATAATAATCTTAATAATACAATTTTTTAATTTTCATAAAAATTTTTATTTAACAATCTCAATTTTAAACTTGCAAGTTGAGCTAAAGTTATGCTAACAAATACAACTTTTTTTTACTATAAACTTTCACAAAAATCAATTGTAATGGACCAAAAAAATATGTTTAAAATGACATTTTGCAACGATTATGTTTAACACATTAAAAATCAAAATCAGTAATAATTTGAAAATAAATTTTTTTTTTGTTTATGATTATTTTTTTTAGTGTAAATACTTATTTTTTTACTAATTAGTAATAATATCAAAAATTAGGGTAGTAAAAGAATAAGTGCAAATTTGAAAACAGCGTGAAAAGTTGATTTGGAAAAGTATATTTTTGATTCTGATAAAAGTTCCGTGTAGACCAGTATATCTATTCAAAAGTAACAAAAACATTGTTATCGAATTTTTTAAGGTTATTTAAAATATTTTCCATATTAACTATAATTTTAAGGTTGTTTCTCTTTTTACAATTAATCGCTTCTTTAGTTTTTTGGGGTTATTTTAGTTCAAAACACTCTGAACGTAAAATTTCACAGTTTTAAAATTAATTATTTGGCACTATCGACTTTCCTGTTATTAATTTAATATCAAAGATTGAATAATTTTCATCTCAAAATAATTTACTTACACATTTATGAACCTTTAAATGAATTAGGCGAAATTTGTATTTGGCTCTTCCTTTAAATCGCCATTTATAGCAAATATTTAAGTATATAGTCGTATGATATATGATAGGTAAGTTATCTATATTATAGGAGACGATAAAAATAGCAGGGTTTTTTAATATTACTCTATGGCTAAAAGCTAAAGAGTTATTTCATTCAAAATTTTGAGTTATTTGTGATCAGTGACTACTCAGAGTACGCATAAAGTGTGTACAACAGTTTTTCTTACGTGAAATGCTACTACTGGAAAACAGATGGTTATCCTTATCCAATGACCATTGACTATTATTGTCCAGTGTTATTTTTTTATATCAGTATTTTGTCTATTGTGAATGTTTTATTGTTGAATTTTCGCATATTTCTGTATATAATTCTTGTTGCACAGAAAGTAATAATTAATTAACGCTAATGTATCAATTAGTTTGATTCTTTGTGATTTTTGATATAATCATAATTAAATTGGTTGAAGTAGTTGTAAAAAATGGAGCAATCTCAAACTGTGAGTAAATTGACTAATTTTTCAGTTAAAATCCTCTCAAATATAGTTTATAGAAATTACTTTTATTAATTTGTTTAAAATAGAGTAAATATAAATTTTAATTTAATTAAATGTTTGGTATTCTAAATCTTTTTTGGTCAAGTTCATTAAAATTTGTTTTAGACAATTAGAATGTTAGGTTTTATATGGAATCAAATTTGTTAAGATATATCTTCTTGTATGTAAAACTTGAATTTGGACTCATTTGTCAATTGAAAATTTGATTTAGTTTTTAAATATTTTACCTTATAAATAATGATGTAAATATTTATGTAATAATTAATATCTTAGGTAATAAAAACAATACATCAATTATTTTTCAAAATATATTTAAATTTTTTACTAACATCTACAGGGGAATAGTTTATCATAAACCACTCGATTACTCACTAAATAAATACAATATTGGAAAAATTATTTTTGATTTCTTTTAATTACACATATTTCTTAATTTATTAGCTATTAATTACTTTTTAGGATCATTCTTTATAACGTACAGGGGTATTAATTTTATTAATTTAAATAGTGACAAAATATCTGATTAACTTTTAAAATAGAAAATGATCTAATTAAGAAAATAACTGATCATACCAACCTTTGGACCAATACTTTGGATGTTATTCTCATTTTTAAACCAAAGCAGCAAGTAGAGTACCGCTGGGAAATTACTAGTGATAAAAATAGCAGCCGTCGCTCCTTACATCCAGTTATTACTTTAAATTGTTAATAACTTCTAAAATACATGTCCAAAAGTTATTATTAACCAGTCATTTTCTTATTTAGATTAATTTATATTTTATAAGCTAATTAAATATACATGTTGCTACTTAAAAAAATAAAGTTGACTCCTCTTTAAGTTATAAAAGATGATTATAAAAAATTATTATTAGCTGATAAATCGAGAATTATTTGTAATTAAAAAAATTAAAAATTATTTTTCTAATATTGTATTTGTTTTCCAAGTAATCGAGCTGCTTATAATAAACCGATCACCTTGTATATTGACTAATAAATATTTATGATATATTTTTTTAGAATCAAGATCCTTTATTAAGATTAAGAGTGATTGCTGGACATTCACTTGCAAAGAAAGATATTTTTGGTGCAAGGTATAAATTAATTTTACAGTTGAATAATACCTTAAAAATTTTTTAAAAGGAAATTTTTATTTACATTTGATTATTTTAGAGTTTGTTATTTTAATGTTTGATTATTTAAAGTATTTAAATTTTTTCAGTGATCCTTATGTAAGGATTGAATTAAATACTATAGTTGGAAATGTTTCAGTAGATTCAGTTTTAACAAAAACAAAAAAAAAGGTGAGAAATTCCTACTATCTATGATAGTAAGATAATTATTAAAAAATTATAAGACCCAAATTTAAATAATTTAATAATTTTTAATATATTTGTTATTTATAAGTCAATTATGCTTGTTTTTATTGTAAATCATAATCTATACTACCAAACAAAAAAAAAAAAAAATATTCAAATTAGTAGTTTAATAATTACATTGAATAATTATTTGAACATTTTTTTTGTTTTATACTTTGTTACAGACATTAAATCCAGTATGGAATGAAGAATTCATATTTCGAGTATGTTAATATTTGGTTGATTTCTAGTAATATGTATTTTATACTTGACTTATCTTAAAATAATTTATGCTCAGGTACGACCACATGAACATAAATTAGTATTGCAAGTATTTGATGAAAATCGATTAACTAGAGATGATTTTCTTGGGATGGTCGAAGTACCATTGAATAATGTACCTAAAGAAATAATTGGCAGAAATATTTGTAGCCTGCATTATATTTTAAAACCAAGAAGGTTTACTCAATTTTACTCAATTAAAAATTTATATTAAATTTTTTTTTATTTGTTTTAGTGCAAGATCAAAAGTAAAAGGTTATTTAGAGCTATATATTGCTTACGCCCCTGAACAAGAACCTGGTATTTCTGGTCGTTTACCTGTTGATGGTGACTGGGAAGTAATTGAAAATGCTGATGTTTCAAATGCTTCTCATGTTTCTTCTGTAAGTTTTTTATTCATAAAAAATATAATAATAATTTAAAATATAAATATAAAATATTTTTATATTTTAACTTCATATTTGTGAATTCTTTAAGCCTTATACACCAAATGCTATTGAATCAAGTACTGCATTACCATCAGGCTGGGAAGAAAGACAAGATGCTAATGGTAGGACATATTATGTTAATCATTTAGCAAGATCTACACAATGGGAGAGACCAACAGTAACGTTAGTATAAATATAATTTTTAATTTAGGTAATATACTTTAAAATAAACTATTTAATTGAAATATTTATACATTAAAAAAAAACCTTAATACTAGGATGTTTGTTAAAAATTAATTTTTGAAACTTGACTTTGCTATCTCTTTTAGAGAGATAACAAAAATTGACTTCAAATATTGGTTTGGTCATTATTAAGCTGATAACATAATTTTTTCCCCCAATTTATGTATTTTTCTTTTTAAAATATATGAATTATTTTAGAGATCAATCTGATGTCAACTCGATTCAAAATTTAGCCTTAGCTGCTACTGAATTTGAAAGACGATATCATATCAGTGTAGATACACCAGAATCTGACAAAGGAGACCCCACTAAAAAAAAAGTAAACATTTTAGTGAAAATTAATAAATAACAATAGGGTAGTGTATAGTTAATTCTACAAGATACTGGCATACTTATAGGGTGATATGGGTATCATATCCCTTCAAAGCAAAATCAATTATATGAAAATGCCATTTTTTTTTGTCTTATCCAATACAAACATTATGTTACATATTTAAAAAAACATGATTTATATTATTAAAAGTTAAATTGTCCAATAGTATATCCAAGAGGTCAGGGGGATGTAGCGCTCTTCAAAATTATAATTATTTAATGAGTTTTGATATTGAATTATATTTTTTTAACTATTATTATTTAAGTAATTTATAATGTCTTAAAAAATATTATAATTTAAGTGCCATATATTTGATTCTTATTAAGTTAGATTAAGGCTGTGTAACCTTCCTTTACTTTAAACCACTATAATATGATCTAAAATTTTGTCAAATGGAATCTGAAAATGTATTATTAATTGAATTTGTAATTTCATTCTAGGGGCTGAATGGCTAAATGTAAAGCAAATGTTGCTTCCATCTGACTTTACCTTGACAAAATGTTACTCATGAATTAATTGTGTGAATAAAATTTTTTTTAATTTGGATAAATTTAATTTTGTTTATTCAAAATTTATCATTGATTTTGTTGTATTATCAATATTTTCGCTAGAATTTGAGTTTTAATAAAATAAGTATTTTTAATTTCCTATATGATTTAAAAAAAATGAGTTTTTCAAATATCTCAAAATATATTTTAAAAATAACTGCAAAGACCTACAAACATTTGAACAATTTCATCAAGTTTCCTATTTACTATGGACGCTTAAATGTAAATTCCTAAAAATTAAAGATTAAATTTTTACTTTAAACTTCTTTGTTATGTATTTATCAAGTTTGAGTTGTAGTTGCTAAATATTTGTATAAAAAATGTTCAAAAATACTTTTTTTTATTTTTAATAATCAATGTAATGAAATTACAAACAAAATTGCAATGACTGCTACTTTTATTTAAAATCTAATATAAATTTGTTAAACAATAGAGAAAATCTACAGAAAACTTTATTTTTTGAATTAAAACATTTTAACTCATTGTATTTTGGTGATGTAATAATTTACTTATCATAGTAAAAATCAAAATTATAACAAATAATATAATAAAAATTATCAATCATTAGAAATAACCCTTTTTTTTTTTTTTAAACGTTAATTTTTTTAAAACAGCTTAGGCAATAAAAATATTACTCTTAGATGTTTATAATGTTTACTTTAAATTAAAATGATTTTGTTTGAATACTAAATCAAAAGTTAATAACGAACATTCATGAAAAAAGATATTCTCTAAATGGAAGGGAGATTGGTGTATAATTTTGTTAATATATATATAATGTTAAGGGTGCTGAAAGTGATGCTGATGATGAAAGTGATGAAGGTTATGAAGAATCAGATCCACTTACTAGTATTAGTAGAAGACTTTCCAATTTATCGAAATCTGGTGATCAAAATCAGGTATTAATAATTTTTGTTTTACTCAAATTTAAAAAAATAATTTGTATGTACATATAATATTAATGGTCTACAATATTTTAACTAATCTAATCATTTTAGATCTACAAAATATTTTGCATTATTTTTATTTTTAAACAATTTATGCTTGCTAGACTATGTTAAAATCATATTTTTATTATTTGTCTCTAATAATAAAAATGTTTAAATTTTTCCAAAATTTCATTTATTGGTAAGTTATAACTTGTGCTGATGTATTTCTTTATTGTAAACTTCTCTCAGGCTACATATCCAATCTATGTATTAAAATGCTTGTAACTAAATAAGTACTCTCTCTAACATGGTTATAGACCCATCAAATTTTTTGTAAGAATAGCTCTTAGAAATAGGCTATTTTTAAATTGTTTAAAATAATTTATTACATGTAACTAATATTAAAGGAAGAATGATATCCTAAAGTCTCCTAAAACTAAACTAAACTAAACTTCTAATTAATGTATATTAATTAAAATCAAGAAAATTAAAAACGAATATCTATTAGCTTCGATGCGAAGCTGAGAAGGTATTGGTTTTACTATGATGTGTTTTTTTTTTTTTTTTTTCTGTTACCACTTTTTCTCAGCTCTCACCGAACGGATTTCTTTCAACGATACGTCAAAAGATCACAAATCGTATCTAGTCGAAGACATTACCCTTCAAAATTGAAAAAATTTCCCCCGTTCTCTGTAAATGGGGGAAACCTCCAAAAAAATTACATATTTAAAAATCGATAATTTTCGAAATTTTTTAAATTTTTTTTACTAAAATGTGCTGTAACTTTTTCAAAAATGAACATATGAATATAATTTTTTTTTATATAGATGCTTGATGTCTTTACCTATTATTTGGTATATTTTTTTTGTAAATCTGACACTTAACCTGCCCACAGGGGGGGATTTAAAATGACAACTTTTTCACAAAAAATTAACTTTTTCAACTTAACTTTTGAAAATGTTCCGGAAGGTCTGACACTTTTATATATATCTTAAATTAAAGCTAATGTAATATACTTTAATTTGAAAAAAAAAAATTTGACCTCTGGACTTGTCTTCATGGTGAAAACGGCTACCGAATGCTATTTTTGTGTGAAAATTTTCGATTTTATTATTTATATTATATTTAACTTTATAATGCTATAACTTATTGAAAAGTTTATGGATCCACACAATTTTTTTATGAGAAATAATATTTTTTAATAAACCCTTTTTCATTCGACATACTTTATCTTAATCGAGATATTAATAAGGAACCAGCAGATCAAGTAGCTTTTGGAATAAAACACCAATTTTTTTAAAATTAAACACTATCTAAAGATTTGCATCGAAGCGTTTATTTTTGATAGTGATTTTAATCACTGTCAGATATCATTATATTTGATCCAACTATACCATGTCACAACTGTGCCGCGACCCCCCTGTGCTGGGTTTTTTTTTAAAATTAAACACTATCTAAAGATTTGCATCGAAGCGTTTATTTTTGATAGTGATTTTAATCACTGTCAGATATCATTATACATGATCCAACTATACCACGTCACAACTGTGCCGCGACCCCCCTGTGCTGGGTTTTTTTTANACGTCACCACTGTGCCGCGACCCCCCTATGCTGGGTTTTTTATTATTGATGTACTCTGGATTGATAAAATAAACTGTATAAATGCATAACATCCTGAACCTTAATCATTAGCTTACCATAATAATCATTATGAAAGAAAACTTTATTTATAGGAATAATTATAAGTTTATACAGGAATTAATTTGATTTTTTTATGATTTTGTTACAGCATGATCACGTAGATTCAAATTTAAGTGAACAAAGCAATGAAACAGCAACAAGAATTTCACACGACAATTTAACTATTTCAGAAGGATCCGATGGTTTACCAAAAGGTTGGTCTATGCAAGTAGCCCCAAATGGTAGGACATTTTTCATTGATCATAATACTAGAGCTACGACTTGGGTAGATCCTAGGACTGGCCGTGCTAGTTCAATGCCTAATCAAAATCAACCACCTGCAGCTGATCATATAGTTTCCACTTCAACTTACAACGATGAACTTGAACCATTACCTGAAGGTTGGGAAGAAAGAGTTCATGCCGATGGAAGAATTTTTTTCATAGATCACAGTAAGAGTTTTTATAAAAATAATATGGAAGTAATAAATAATAAGTAACTTATTTCCATAACTTAAAAAACTACTAGATTAGAAAAAATAGTTTTAAATGTTTTTTTTTATATTTTTATAATATCTAAAATTAAAATAATATAATTTATAATAATAATTAATTTAATATAAATTAAATTAAATTATTCTTTTAATTATGAGTTTTTTAATTTTGGAGTTATTTTAAATTTATTTAGGATCACTTTGAAGTATCAATAAAATATTTCATTTTTCAAAATTAAGTTCTGATTAAAAAAACTTATTTATATTATAGTATTATATATTATAGTAACTTATTTATATTAATAGTTAATAACTTAATTTTTGTAAAAGATAAAGTATAGACAAGTTTGTTATTTATCATAAATAACTTGTTACCATTTGTATTATTTATAATAATATTTTATCCTAGATACTAGAACTACACAATGGGAGGATCCTAGGTTGAACAATCCTAAAATTGCTGGTCCTGTAAGTCAAATTTAATAAATAATATTTCTTATCATGATAAAATTTAAAATTTTAAAATTGTTATTTATTGAGTTAAATAATGTTTTTTTTAAGGCATTACCTTATTCGCGAGATTACAAAAGGAAATATGAATCACTTAAAACTAGACTGAGCAAAATGGTAAGTTTTTTTTATAACTTATTTATGTTATAAAATTGATTTTATTATTGTAAAAATAAATTTTCCATTAAATTTTAAAGGCTCATGGACCACCAGCTAAAATGGAAATCAAAGTTCGTCGCTCTAATATATTAGAAGATTCCTTTCGCATTATAAATTCAATGAATCCAGATAAATTAAGAGCTAAGCTATGGGTTGAATTTGAACAAGAAGTTGGTTTAGATTATGGAGGATTAGCTAGAGAATGGTTTTTCCTTTTATCAAAAGAAATGTTTAATCCTTACTATGGTCTTTTTGAATATTCAGCTATGGATAATTATACATTACAAATTAACGCTATGTCTGGTTTATGTAATGAAGAACACCTTCACTATTTTAAGTTCATAGGCACTGTAGCTGGAATGGCAGTTTACCATGGAAAATTGTTAGACGGTATAGTAGTTACTAAAACTTAATTTAATAATTTGTTTTTTGATAGATTTTGGTACATTATTAAAGAGTTTTGATAAGTTACTGTACAATGGCGTATTCAAGTTAGGGGCAAGTTTTATTCTCTCCTATTAGTCACAATAAATCAACGTTTTAACTTAAAACTTTTAAGTGAAAAATTACTTTAAAAAGTCATTAAATATTTTTGGCTTTAGATCCTTATTGAAAATCCCTGGATTTGTTACTGTTACTATATAATTTGATTAAGCAATTTTATTTAAATTATCCATTTAAAAATATGTGTAAAATTTTTTTTTAGCATTTTTCATTCGCCCCTTTTATAAAATGATGTTAGAAAAGCCAATCGAATTGAAGGATATGGAAAGTGTTGATTCAGAGTATTATAACTCATTACTGTGGATTAAAGAGAATGATCCATCTGAATTAGACCTTACTTTTTCATTAGATGAAGATAGCCTTGGTCATACATCTCATCGAGAATTGAAACCTGATGGCGCTAACATTCACTTAACACAAGACAATAAAGATGAATATATAAGGTAAATGCATTATTTAATAATTGATGTGAAAAAAAATTCTATTTTTCTAAAAATGTTATATTAAAATAAACAGTACTAGGCTTACAATTAGACTTACATCTTCTAGATGCCTATATTAATTGTTATTATATCAGTAATAGAAAAGTAAATATATTTGCATGGTAATATTCAAAATATGATATAATTTAAGATTCAATTATTTGTTATACGAAAATCTTAAGAATCTATCAGGGATTGAAAGCATTGTTGTTTTTTTCAAAAATGACATCTTATACAATAATTTTTAATAACATTATTTTTTTTAACAGATTACTTAAGTGATTTTTATGCACCACTCTTTTTGTAAAAAAGTTTGTTAAGTTAGTTTTTAAATCAAATTACAGCTTCTGAATAATATTTTTTTTTCGCTTCAGAACAAAATGAAAATATTGTTCCTAACTCGTAACTCAAAAATTTATTAAAATTCATATTTTTTTTTTATATGCTTTTATAAATGCCTAATGTATTGCAATATCAAATTACATTAAAATATTCAAAAACTGATTGTTATATTAAATAATATGTAATTAAAAAAAAAAATTATTTTATTTTATTTTACATAATTAAAACTGAAAAGTAGTATTATATATTATGTGTATAAAATTTTAAACTCCGGGTGTGAATTATCTGTATTATGTGTATTATACCAATACTGCTAAAAAAATTTTCCTATAAAATTTTGGTGATAAAATACTATTTTTAGTATTAATGAATTATAATTATTATTTATTATAAATTATTTTGTATTTCTTTTTAGTCTTGTAATTCAGTGGAGATTTGTATCTCGCATACAAGAACAAATGAATGCTTTTCTTCAAGGATTTGGTTCCATAGTACCTCTTAGTTACATAAAAATATTTGATGAACATGAAATGGAACTTTTGATGTGTGGTATACAAAATATTGATGTAAAAGATTGGAAAGAAAATACACATTATAAAGGAGATTATTCCCCAAATAACATTGTAATTCAATGGTTTTGGAGAGTGAGTTTTATATTTACAGTTAATAAAAAATATTTGTGTCTAATTTAATGTTTTATTTAGGCTGTTTTATCATTTAACAATGAAATGAGATCTCGTCTTTTACAATTTGTCACTGGTACATCAAGAGTTCCAATGAACGGATTCAAAGAATTATATGGCAGTAATGGCCCACAGTTATTTACAATAGAACGATGGGGTACAAAGGATAATTATCCTAGAGCACATACATGGTAAATGAATCATATCACATAAAATTATACTTTGCTTTATTTAATTTTATATCTTTTCAGCTTCAACAGACTAGATCTTCCGCCTTATGAAAGTTATCATGAATTAAGAGGAAAACTTATAAAAGCTATTGAAGGCTCACAAGGTTTTGCTGGTGTTGATTAGTATGTAAATTTGTTTTATTTACACAAAGTTACCTTACTACCAAAACTAAAATATGTTGTAAAACACATTTAACCCTTATAATGATTATATGTGATATATGACTTACTTTTTAACTTAATTATTGTAATGAATCATTCCTGTATGTAGAATATAATAGTTCTGTACACATACAATTAAAATTATAGTTTATGTAAAATGGTAAAAATGCATTTTTAGATATAGCTGTATGCAAACTATACAAATGTATTAAGTATATATATATATAGTTAAATATTTATTTACACTTTTTATGTACTACTGGCTGTAATATATAATTTTTCAGGGTAGTTTTATTATATATATATATATATATATAATACATGTATTTTTATGGAAAAAAATATTTGCACTCATTTCACCAACAATACTTTATTATTATTATAATTATATAATGAAATGTATGTGCACAAGTGTAAAAATATTTTTTTTTATTCATATTTAAGTATAAATTTTATTTATATTATACTAAATGTATAAGAATTTTAAAAATTGACACAATAACTCATTTCAATTATCATTTATATATTTTTTAATGTAAAATTAAAACCAAAGAGTACCATCAATATATTGATATTCAATTTCAAATAATTTATAGACCAGTCAATAAGTATTTTTTTCTTAATTTCTTATTTATTAAATTATGTAATAAATTTAAGTATTTCCCTTTTTATGCTAATATTTAGACATTTAATTGATTGTAATTTTTGTAAATTAATTTATAGATTGTATTATTTTTATTTTCTTATTATTTTTTAAATATGTTTTTATTGTTAAATAATTAAAAAATTTACACTAAAAATCATTATTAAAAACAATTATTTTATAGAAAAATGTAGCATTTAAAACAAAATATTGTTGAAACAACAATACTTTCCAGTGATAAGACTAATTCATTTTTTATTTTTTTATTAACTATAGTCTACACTGACTCTTGTATAAAGTGATTCTTTAGCCACTTAATTTCTCTTAAATTAATAAATTTTTGTTTGGCTTTTGTTAGTTACGTATCTTCATTTATCTGTTGTAAAATATTTCTTATATTTATCATTAATTTCTTATAGGAGTTTAAATTTAATTTTTTTTATATAGCCATATACATAATTAACTATGAGCTAGTTAACTAGCTTATATATCAAAAAAATTATGTATGTAATTAAGAAAATGATTGATTGAAAATTTGTAGACCAATATTTCAGAAATAATGACTGGAGCTGAAGAGTAGGTGCTACTAATTTTATTATTTGATATTTGTTGGCTTTACTCCTCCTTTCTAAATATAGAAGTGTTAATAACTTTTGAAATACTGGTCCAAAAGTTGTTATTGACCAGTCGTTTTTTTTTATATAAGTTATTTATAGCTATGTATATTTATGTTGTTATTAAAAAAAATTAAGTTATCACCCCTTTAAAGCATAAAGGATAAAAATAAAAGATATTTTATGACTGATACATTTGTAACTAACAAAAACCAAAAAAATTATTATTTTAAAAGAAATTGTGTGGCTAGAGTTAAAAAGAATCACATGTAATGGAAGGATAGCACAGTGGTTTGATAGCGAATTTTAGACACTCATAAGTACCATTTTGCACTTAAAATATTTAAATAATTATGAAAACTTAATTTTAGCGTGTTGCTTACACAAAATATAAAGTAAAGTTTCAGGGTCACATGATAATCCGATTGATATTTACAGCTATTTGAAGTATGAATATTGTTATGTTAATTTAAAAAGGTTTTTATTGTCAATATTTTTAACAAGTTAAATTTTTTTTTTAAGTCTAATTATAATATTATAATTTTTTTATTAATCATTGGGAAACTCAAGATTTAAAAAAGTATATTTTATTTAACTATTTAATTTACAATCTAATTCTTGATAAATCAATTAGAAATAATTCATATATTTTTAATAATTTAAAAATGATACTTACCTCCTTTAAATGACAATATCTGCTTCACATACTTCAACATTTGATATTTTAACTTAAAATTTTGTTAATTTATCTCATATATGACTAAATTTTTTTTTTCAGAGTTAATAAATATAGTTTTTACAAAAATTTAAATCAAAATGATAAAAAAGTTTTTTTTATTGAAATTAATAAAAAATAACTAAGCTACCACTGATTACCGGTAGGGGTACGGGCACGATAAGTGTTTTGCAAAAAAAATATTACATCATAATCAGTGTAACAAAAATATATTAAAAATGTTATTAAAATCAGGAAAATTCAAAAAGAGAATATAGTAAAATGTATTGGGTATAAGGTTGACGTTTGTTAATGAGGTATTCCCTTTAGGCCTATTCAAAAATTATTTTAGGAGGGGATATAATATTTTTTACTTTGTTAAACATGTTATAGAATTTTTTGCTAAAAATTTTAGTAATGATGAAAAAAAAGGATATTAGGTCCTTATTTATTAGAAGTTGCCTAAAAAAATATTGATAGCGCTGATTCAAGGGGGGCATATCTTCCTTAATTACACCCCTGATATACACAAAAATTATTAATATTCTAATTATAATAGTTGTGTTTATATTATAGAATAATTAAAAAAATTCAGCAGGTTACTTACTATACGTAGGATTATGTAAAAAATTTAATTTTGATAAAAATATTGGTAACTGCGGTTTAACGTTGGACAGCATAATTATCATAGATGAATCCCCAATTTAAACGATAAGACATATACATCATAATGAGAAAAAAAAGATTATTAACAATGTACTGTTCTGATAATGAAAGTACAAACTTATATAATTATAATCCTCTTGAAATTTATGTATAACATATAATATTCCTCTTTAAAATATAGTACTATGTGCAAATGCAAAATAGTGTCCTAATAAAAATACATATTACACAATATAATTAAGGTTAATAATAAACGTATGAGCAGAAATGAATCACTGCGCATATTAAAACCATGCGCGTGGACTTGAAAAAAAAAAAAAATTTCCGACCTTCGCCAATAATTTTCCTTGATTCTGGTGACCGGGTACTTATGTTGAAAAAGAATTTTTTGAAAATCCGAGCACGCTAAGTAATTTCCAAAGCGTTTTTTTCCTTGTTCTATTCTATAATAAGACGCGTACATGTGTTATTGACATACAGAAAAATCGTTATTTTTCGTTAAAATTTGATGAATTTCAAACGATCGTAGCGGCCAAAGTTTTGGTGGGATCTCGGATTTTCGGATTTTTGGCGCTTCCTCGGCACGTACAGAACGCCGTGATATGATTGCGAATCGTAAAAAAAATACCTGTCCTATTCACGGTCAGGTACAAGTTCAATTCTCCACAGCTCTCCGTGTTGGGGGTGGACATCCCGCTTAAAGACTCCATGACTTAAATGGGCCTGATCGTAGACAAGCGTCTAAAGTTCCGGCCGCACATTACCCGGGCGGCCCAGAAAGTCATGAATAGCCTGGCGGGACTTATGCCCAACCTGGGAGGGCCGAGGGAGATGCGGCGCAGACTCTTAGTCTGTGAAGTACACTCGGTCCTCCTGTACGGGTCCCCGTGTTTTGGGCGGATACTTTTCAGTATTCGTCCAAAAACCGAGGAGCCTTGCTCAGGGTGCAGAAGCGGTTGGGGATCGGTCATCACTGCCACCCGCCGACTTTATCGCCGAGGAACGCGCTGCCGAGAACGTGGCCTGTACAGGTCCGCGGTTTGGGCGGATACTCTTAGGTATTCTTATTCATACGATTTCCTAACTGCATATTAATACTTTTTTTTTAATTCTCATAAAAATTTCTATTTAATAATGTAAATATTAAACCTGAAATTGATTTAAAAGTTATGGTAACAAATTCAACTTTTTCTTTATTATGTATTTTCAAATAATCAACTTTAAAAGACCAAAAAAATAGTTAAAAATAATATTTTACATTGATTATTTTTAACATATAAAATATAAAAATCTGCGATAATTTAAAAACAATATTATTTTGTTTTTAATTATTTTTTTATCGTAATAAATCATTTCAAAATAAATATTAATCATTCCTATGTATTCTTAGTGTTAATAAATGATACAATTAATATATTCAGAACTATCTTTCTTTTAGTTATATGCCATAGTTTTTAACTAATTAGTAATAATATAAAAATTTATTGGTGATAGAAAGAATCTAATTGCTGATTTTAAATTAGCATCAAAATTTGAATAATAAATGTATATTTTTGACTCTGATGAAAATTGTTTGCACACCATTTATTCATAATTAACAACAAATTATTATCTAATAGGTTTTGTGTTATGTCCTTCAATTTTTTTATATACGATTGCCATAAAAGAAATAACTACTTTTTACATTTTTATAAAATCTCTGAAAAAATTACAATATTAAATTGTTAAATATCAATCTCATACTAATAGAATTGCTATAATAAATATTTATTCAGACAGTATAATTTTAAGCGTAGAACTACTAATCAGGAATAATAAAGGAAATAAGAATTCATTTTGCTTTTAGTATAATTCACCAACTTCTTAGAGTAGTTTTCTTAGAGCTAATAGTTCTTGATGACATTGTGACTTTATCAAGGATTTCACGCTCATTTATGCGGAAAAATCACATATCTTCATAGGGGAGCTAGCAAATCACAGAACACATATCCCTGTATACTAACCCTTTCCTACATCACTTAATAATTTCTATCTCATAATTACTTATTAATTCGTAATTTCTAATAAACTATACATTTTTCATAGTATAACCTTTCGTGTGCGGTTGCGTATCCCCACATATAGATTTACTCTTAACCCGCATACTTGTAGTATCAACTGTAGCTTAGAGAAAAAAGGGACTCCGCGTTTCAATAAGTTATAGCATTGTTAAGTTAAAAATGTAAAGTATAAAACCGAAAAAACAAAATAAAGTCCGAAATTATTTTTTCCATAATAAAGTATATTACATAAGCTTTAATTTAAGATATATATAAAAGTGTCAGACTTTCAAAGTTAAGTTGAAAAAATTCTACTTCCTATATGAATTTTATAGATTTAAACCCTCCCCCGTATATAGGGAATGGACCAATTTAAAAAAAAAAGTATGAAAAAGATTGAAAACTGTGTAAATATGTCACATTATGAACAAATTAAAAAAATTGAAA